TCTCCGCGGCGCGGAGCCGGGCGGCAGGCGGGTGGGGCGGCGGCTGGCACCGGGCAGGGCCGGGAAGGCGGGGGACACCCGCGGGGGCGGATCTCGGCTTTGGCAGGGGGGTGCGGGAGCCTCCTCCTCCCCCGTGCCGGTGGGGCGGGCTGACCGAGCCTCTGGGGACTTCTCTCCGGGGAGCCCCGGCCCTGCACAGCCCGGCTGGAGCAGCTCCCACCCCGCCCGCGGGGGGCAGTGGGGAAAGCAGCAGTGATTCGAGGAAGGGACGGGAGGGGACGTGGCTCTGAGCACAGAAGGGACAGGGGGAGGCTCCTCACCTTTGGGGACTCTAAAAAAAATCCCCAGCAGCTCCAGCAGGGTGGTGCCGCGCAAAAGCAGGGTGCAGCTGCATCCACTCCTGGACACCCGCGAGACGAGGCAGGAAGAGCAACAAGAGATCCTGGGTTGCTGGGGAGGGAACGAGGCCCCCGGTGCCCAGGGAGCGCCACAGGGCCCATTCCACCCTACTATGATGGATGTACTGAGACCTGTAGGTTTTAATGGGCCAAACACTGTTCACAACACAGTAGAGCGCTGCAGACCAGAGGCGATCACCTTGCAATGACACTGCCTGTGCAGCTGCTAGAAGTTTGACTAGAGCAGAGCAGAGCAGAGGCCAGGACCTGCTGTCAGGACCCCTCATTGTCACTGGAATTAAGCTTGGATTTTCCCCCCATCCAGCTGCAGGAGTGGACTCCTGAATCTTAGCTTTTATTTAAAACTGTGATGTTTCTAGCATGTGTGGTTGCAAATAGATCTAGCTAAGGGGCTTTTCCAACAATCTCTAAAAGCTTCCAGGGGTGAATCTAGGCAGGATGCAATGGCACAAATGCATCCCCCCACACACCCCACTTTCAGTCCACCATGCTGTGAGAGCAGCAGGTAGGGACTTTTTTTAAGTCCCTGAAGCAAGTAAGAATTTCCCCCTCCCTCCTCCTCCATGCTCAGCAGCACATCCTTTCCCTCCCCTCCCCTCCCCGCTGCCCCCTACTACTTCTGTCCCTGAGGATGGGGACAGAGCTCCAGAGAGGCTCCTGCCTGCTCCAGCTGGGCTGCACCAGGGACAGCAGCAGGAAGATATCTCCTCTTCCTGGTTCCCACAGTGTTCTCTGCCAGTCCAGTAGCAGTTGTGGGGGAAGGGAACATTTTGCTGCCACTGTGATATCTCTGAATCTGGCTCCATGTGCATCCCAGCTGGAGCAGGATGGGAGTAGCTCTGGAGTTTACAACCCCACCCTGAGGTTAGCTGGAGACAGTGACATAAGCAGCAGTGGGCAAGGAGCTGTCGGGGAATGGGAGGGGAGAAGAGGGCACATGCTACTTAAGCATAGAGGGGAAAGGAGAGGGGAGGGAAGATTCTTACTTGCTTGAGGGACTTTAAAAGAAGTCCCCTGCTGATGCTTCTGCAGCAGTCTGTCCACCCTGGTGTAGGGGGCAAGCCTGGGAGCCAGGGTGTAGTAGCCGTCTCTGTAGCACAAGTTGCTGCTCCTGCACCCGCTCCTCCATGCCTAAATCCTGGATCCACCCTTGAGTGCTTCCCAAGGTTTTTTCAGATGGCAAAATCTCCATATGGCTCAAATGTAGATCTTGATCCAGGAAAAGCCTTTAAGCACATTTTTAGCTTCACTGGTACTACTCATATGTCCAAGTGCTGTACTGAATCAGGGCTTCAATTATAAAAAAAACCCTCCAGCTTCATGCTAGAGGATTCCTACAGTGCACTCATGCATTGTTAATGTACACATTTGACACGTGACTCTCCCTGTGCCTGAAGAATGGTGTTTGTACCTAAAAGCTTGCAAAGAATATTTTTTCCAACTATTTAGTTGGTCTAATAAAAGATATTATATTTACCCAAAGAACCATGTCTGGATACATTTGAGGCATATATGCATACAGCATGGAAGTATATGATTCATAAGCAATTCAGGCTTCAGCATTGACATGAAAATGTAGCTCTTTTCAACAACAGTAGCTATTTTCTTTGCAGACAGAAGTGTGATTGTTAAGTTGTCAGGATTCCTTTAATTTAAACCTGATATTGCAGCCCAGAAAAAAACAGGTAAAGTATATTTTGGATAATTTTCACATGGCTTTTTCAGAAAATTTGATGATTCAGTTCTAAACTGTAATAAATCATAGTCCTAAATTAGTAATGCACATAAAACCATAACCATAAATGATTCAATTAGACCACTAATGAGTCATTTTTCTTTTTCTGTGTAGACAGCATCCTTAGCATTATGGATAGCTAATGAACTTTCTCCTTCTATCCTACCCAGCAACTTTGTAGACTTGTTTGATAACTCAGAGTGTTTCAGTCCATTAAATGATTAGGAAAACTTTCCGCTCTTTACTTTTCATCTAAGGCTCAGGACATCTTGCCAGTTCCATGAACCAATTAATCTACAAATTGTCAAGCACAGATTTTACCTGAACACTACTAGTTATTATATATCATTCTGTCCTTCTGACAATTTGTGCTGTTATGAAAGGTTTTGGATTGTACATCACATGCATCTGTGGACCTAAACCACCGAAGATAAAAAAGCAGAGGATTGTAACTGCTATCTTGTTTTCAGTAACTATTCTTTGACCATGTTTCTACACTCTCCGATTTTAATTTAATAAGTGTTGTTTCTAACCTTCTCTGTCAATTAGAGAAATGTTAATGCATGAAACTGTTAATTAATAGGGTTTGTATTAGTTAAAAAGAAAATGTAATAGGTTCCTACTCTTATAAAATATAACAACTAATAGAGATAAAGTAGGAATGGAATGTTGCTGAAACATTTCTGCTTGAGACTGAAAAATGAAACCCTCTACTTATGAATTCCATAGTATGTTAAGATCCTCATTTGGGTTGCAAGTCCACCTCTTTGGGGGTTTTTTCCTGCATCTTATCCATTGGTGGCCTAATAATTAATGTGTAAGGCAAGCAATAGTGGATAAAACTGATCCTAATAGTGGTAAAACTGATTCTGAGGGTGTCTGGAATTATGGGGAAAGCAAGATAGAGCTGTTTATCAGCTATTATTCCAGAAAGGGAATCAGAGGACCTCATGGTTGATCTTTTGTGATCTGGGGCAACTCACCAACAGCACATTTTCAGAAATGACCCTTAATTTTAAGCACTTCACTTTTTGAATGTTCTGCTTGAGACTTTGGGTACTGGAGCAACATTTAGGCAATTAAAATGGAGGTGTCCAGAAGTAGAAACAGCTTTTGAAAATGTTGGCTTTTGCTTTTACTTTATGAACCAATAGTTTGCAAGACACCCCAGCTTAATACAGAACTATTTTATAGATTTTGGTTCATGTCAGCTACCCGCAAAGCTAATAAAGGCAAGGGCCTCATTCACCACTCTTGCACTTTGTGTAGTCAGATGTCCCCATGTGAAGTGATCAAAAAGGTAGCATTGCTCATCTATTGTACACAGGTGTAAATGCTTGCTTCTGCTTCCATTGCAGTCCATAAACATTTTGTCTTAAAAAGTCCTAACCACTAACAATCACAGAGCACCTAACAAATTTTGAGTCTGAACTAATTTACTGGTTGAGATGCTATAAGAGATGATTAACCAATTGGGTACTTTTAAAACTGTATTGGTAATGCTCCCAAATAGTACTGGTGAGGCCCTCTGCACTACTAATATGACCTGAAGCAGTCCCATTGATGCTTGTTTTCATACACCTCCGTTGAACTGTTACCTTTCACACTCCCAACAAACCTTCCCTGCCATAACCCCCATTGTTTATAAATCCAATCAGCTATACTGGGGATGGGGGGTGTGAAAGGTAACAGTTCAACGGGGGTGGGAGGGTGGTAAGGTAGGGGGAGATTTAAGTTACCTGGAGACAGTTCATGCTGATTTTGAAGAGATTATTTTAAGTCTTTTTTATAAGCAGAGTATCTTTGAAGTCAGACAGAGACACTTAAGAATTTACAAAACATCCTTATGTTATAACTTGTATTTTTCTTTACTAAAAATAGCCATGTGATTAGATCTCAGCCAGTTGAATGGTTCCTCTATTTGTGTGACTTATGGTTTGGATTACTCAGCTGAAAAAATCATCAACATTTCCGATCTGTTTTTTTTTTCCCCCACAACATTTATTAAGCAAATGGTGAGGTGAGAAATGTGACTGTAGTATACATTATTTGGTTTGTCTTCTCACTGTATCAGAAACAGACTACTGGTAACTGAAAGGTAGCCAAAGTAGCAGTGGATAAACCTTGAATTCTTCACTTGGGACCCATTCCATGGAAAAATTAGTATATATGCTTCTTGGAATTATAAGTCCTTGTTAACCTCGTAAAATGGCAGCTCTAGAACAGCAACTGTTGGAATATTAAATCAACTCATTATAGTGAAATTATATGGTAAAAGTAGGAAATTTCAAATTATACAATTAATCAGTGGGCTTAAAAGCAAGGAAGCGTATTTGCACCAAGCAGTAACGATTAGTAGAAATACTAGAAAGCCAGTGGTAACTGTCCCTGTGATCCAGTCAGAGAAGGGGAAACAGTTCTAGAGAACAACTACTTTAAAATAAGAGAATTCAAATTAATGGCCTGAGCCATGGGTAAATCTAGGATTTTCTAAAGCGGATGTGGCACACTGTCCCTTAGACCATGGGGGGAGGGGGAGAGAGGCACAGCTGGAGTCCCCAAGTTCCCAGGGG